TTTGGACGGATGGAGTATATATTATTATTATTATTATTATTTACTTTTCTTATTTTTGTTACCATAATTAATATTCATATTTTAGTTAGGAATTCTTATGTATTGTCTATATATACTGCTGAAACTTTCATTATAAAATAAGAAAATATTATTCTCAAATTGTATTTAAAAACATCTAAGATTGAGTGGCTCGAACATGTAATAACAAACCAAATGCGTTATGCATTATTTTAAAATTGAAATTTTAATTTTGAGTATATACGAGCTCGTATGAGGCACGATTTAAACTACTTCATATAGTGTGATATAATTGGAGAGTAAGAAAGAGAATTGGGAAAGTATTGATGTGCAAGACAATTAAATTTCTTGCAACATGCATGCATGCATGCATTGTATATTTGATCTCATTCTAGCTAGCTAGCGTTAGCCAAGACATTTTGTTTTTTGTCTTTTTTGCCAAAACATATATTAGGAATTAATTAATTAATTACTAATCACGCACTAATCAATATATATAGCTAAACCAAAGCGCATGGCATGAGATTTTACAGACCGCATCAATTGCACGTACCCATCATATAAATATGACATGCAATAAAAAAAAGGTTTGGAATTGTCTGCTGTTAATTTTTTTTAAAAATATATGAACAAATATTTTGTTTTCTTGTGTATTTGCCCAAGTCCCTGTCAACAAAGGATAAGGTTTGAGCAAGTCATTTGTTACACCATCCAAACATTGTTTTTTTATATTTTGAATAAATAAATGAATAAAATCTACAAGATGTTGACACAATTAATTTATAAAATAATTCACTATTTTATAATAAAGTTTGTCTAGATATAAATATTAAAGACACATATTCTCATTATATCAGATTGATTCGACTGATGTGATGAAACGTTATGGCTCCAAATCCTGTTAAATTTGCGGTTCCATTAAGGAGCTAATTAACTCATTGAATAGAACGAGGTTTATACTATACGGAGTATATATGAAGTACTCCCTCCGTCCACCTAAGTTCTTCCCATTACGAGTTACGAGGCTTGACCGACTTTATTTTTAATTCAATTTAATTGATTATAGGAATAAAATTTTAAAATAAAATTTATATAGTAATAAACTACATGCAAAGTTCTACAAAACTAGAGGTGACAAGACTATATTATTTTACGAAATGACTAGTAAAAATGAGCAAACAAAGTGAATAAAGTTTGATCCTGTGAATAGTGTCTGGAAAGATCTATGGTGGACAGAGGGAGTAATAAATACTTTCTTCAGTTTCAAAAATATCGTCACAGTTACTTGATAAATTATTCTTTTGATAATTTCCTTATTTTTTTTGAAAAAAAGACTAAATTAATTATGAGTAAAGCATTGAGAAAGTAGGAGTTTTATATTTTTATTTCTAATTACAATATCAATATTGTTAACATATAATAACAAAAGACATTATGGAATGTAAATATACAGTGTCACATTGTTACAGTACAAATTTTTATTTTGAGGTTAAAATCATAGAACTCTTATTTTGGTATTTTTTGGATGTTTATTTCTATTCTGAGTGTTTCCATGGAATTGTTATTCAATTTAATTGCTAATATTGTGAGTTGTTCTCTATCTAAATGAGGGGACATGTTTGGGAGTAATGATAAAGGAATCAAATTACATTGTTCGTTAGTTACTTTAAGCTCACATCAATAAAATTAAACTTTGTTCCAACTCAATTTAAGAGATTCAGGGCTTGTTTGGGAATAGCGTTAGAGATTAGCGTTTGTGTTTTGAATAAAATTTTAACGGTGCAAATTACTTTGAAAACGCTATCGCTAAACGTTGTCCGTAGATAGCCTTTTCAAAACACTAACATCTAACGCTATTTCCAAACAGGCCCTCAATCAATTAGTGAATAAACTAAGACAGTGTGTCGCCGGAACATAGACTTCAATTCGTTTGTTTCATTTTTCTTTTTAGTTCATCTCAAAATAATTATTTCGCCTTTTTTACTTTAGTTTCCTAATTTAGTAAATACGGAGTATTTATGGTCCACAATCTTTGTATATCCTCTAAATAAATTTCAATCATTCACTTTTTACTTTTCAACACTTTTTTTAAATTTCGTGAAGACAAAGGACAACAATTATTTTGGACAGAGGGAGTATGAACCCTATATAGTCTACTCCTTCTGTCCACAAAGGAAAGAAAATAATACGGAGTATTTCCTACGTCCCAATTTAAATTAATTGTTATTATTTACGAGATTGGACTAAAATTACTTTCAACTCAGTTTAATACTCCCTCCGTCCAACAATAAAGTTCTCGTTCACTATTCACAGGGTCAAACTTTATTCACTTTGTTGGCCTATTTTTGTGTCTTCTTTGATAAAATAATATAGTCATGTCACTACTAGTTTTGTAGATCTTTTCATGTAGTTTTTAAATATATAATTTGAATTTTTTAATTCCATACCATTTTTCATATAAAATGATTTGAAAATAATTTCAGTCAAACATCGTAACGCGCAATGGGAACTTTATTTGTGGACGGAGGGAGTAAAAAAATTGGTCAGGATTTAAAAACTAAAATTTACATATTTAAGAACTACATCAAAAGATCAATAAATTAAAACAAGAGGTGACAAGATTATATTGTTTCGCCAAATAGATAGTAAAAATGAGTAAACAATGTGATTAAAATTTGATCTTGTAAATAATAAACAGAGAACTTAAATTAGGACAGAGAGAGTAATATTATTATATTTTCTATTATCCCTATTATTTCTAATCTTTTTTAATCAAATGTTCTACCAAATAAAAGTGACATAATTATATTATTTTTTCAAATAAATAACAAAAACAAGAAAAAATAGGTAAAATTTGATCATGTGAATAACAAAAGTAAAGATCAGATCATTTGTGGACAGAGAGTAGAGAAGTATACTCTTAAATGCGAGTGGTCTCATCTGAACACTACAATTTGGCATTGGGTATTGATTCCACATCATTTTTGGCATTATATATTACATTATTTAATTTGCATTATATCTAATTTTGGTAATAAAAAAAATTGATGACTATATTTTATTTAGTATTCCTACCCGTTTACAAAACATTTCAATTTTCAATTAAATTTTAATATTTACCCTACTAATTACTACTATTATACATATCATATCATATCTAGTCACTATTAATTTATCTTTCACTTTTTATTCTACTCATCACAACTAAATGTTAAAGTGAAATATAACAACAAAATTACACATTCACTAAATTTTACATTTTTTTCCAAAAAGAAATGTCTTATGTAACTGTAGTATATAAAATATGTTTCAACTCTAATTAGGCACATTTCTCATTCTTATATGGCTTAAGGTGAACTCCTTTTCTGGCTTGAGTAGTAGGAAGTCCACTATCCAAGTTCAAGCCTCTACAAAGACAGAAACATTATCTCTATGTGTGTCATTAAGTTGACTAGAGACTGTCTAGTAATAGAATCAATAGCACTCAGAAAAAATATGGCTTAAGATTCATACAAGAAAAATAAACCTTCTCAGATTAAAGATGCAATTTGATTTGGAATGATTCAACGAATTTATTTTCACTTTATTTTATTTTAAAATTTGTTTAAAAAAATTATATGTTTGAGAAATACATCAAAATTTTCGGAGGTGACATCAATGTATTATTTGGTCAATCTATCAATAAATTTATGAAAAAGAAAATTATATTTTGATTTTGTGAATAGTAATTGTAACTTTTATTTCATTTGTTTTGTTAATTACTCCTTTGATTATATGAAAAGGCTCATGGTGCACCTAATTAGATCCATGATAGAAGAGCTATGATTCTATGACCACTAACTTTTATATCCATGTCAGATGGGTATACTCTTTATATAAGACGCATGAACTTTATATCACGTAAACAGTAAAATATTTATAAATGGACATTATTTATTCATTTATTTTATTAACGATGTTTTTTTGAATGAAAAAGCATATTCAAATTTTGGCACAATATATACAGTACAATTGAATACAAATTGTTGAGTAACTGAATATTCATTTTTTAAAATTTTACTATGCTCTAAAACTAGTATTCAATCACTCAAAAATGAGTATTCTGTTACTCAAAAATGAATATTCATACGAATTTATAAAAAAACGCCTTACATCCAGATGTATGATAAGTATATGGTTATAGCAAGAAAGAGAGTTAGAGAGGTAGCCAAAATTCACCACTTCAAATGGATATATATATATATATATATATATATATATATATATATATATATATATATATATATATATATATATATATATATATATATATATATATATATATATATATATATATATATATATATATATATATATATATATATACA